ACTTGCTTATTGATGTGTTTTAGTAGCAAACAAATCGTAAATGTGAGATATTAAGAAATATTTTATTTTATCCGGCCAATATTAATGAACTGAAAACTGAACTGGAGATCTTTTTGGTCCTAAAATTTGAAATTCACTCTAAACTCCTGGCAATTCATAGTTTGGTAATGACCCGGTGTATGTTAGACAGGCGTGTGTAGAGGAATTTCTATACATTTGTTCTGATGCATCCTCTCTGCTTTTATTGCTCCAGGAAGAACATCATTCATAGAAAACATTAAAGGCATAGTAGAGTGTTAGGAATTCAAAGCTGTACTCCTGGTACTACAGCTCCTTCTGCCTCCTCCATGCCTCGCGCCCCCATCCGATAAATTTTAGCGATTTTAGCGACGCTGGAGGTCCTCACACAGCGTCCAGCGACGCTATAGCACAGATAATCTGTGCTATGATCCCGGAAGTGCCCTCTAGTGGCTGTCTAGTAAACAACCACTAGGGGAGGACTTAACCCTGCAAGGTAATTATTGCAGTTTGTGAAAACTGCAATAATTACAGTTGCAGGGTTAAGGATAGTGGGAGTTGGCACCCAGACCACTCCAATGGGCAGAAGTGGTCTGGGTGCCTGGAGTGTCCCTTTAAATACGATCTAAATATATGAGAGCTAAGTAATAGGCTGTAACCTGTCTAGGGTCAGTGGGTACAACATTATCCAAATCTATCAAGAGGTAACAAAAATCCACTCAATTTGCAATAATACTTTACTCACAAAACCTTATTAGTGTAAAAGGTATATGACTAGACAGGTGGAGGAAGGAAACAGAGTATAGTTAGAAAATAACCATTTAGAGAGCCAAAAGGCTCAAATCACCAAGTATAAAAACAAAAAAAAACACGTGCTATTGAGTGCCCATTTAAAAAAACAAAAAAAATCTCCAAAACACCCGACACGCATTTCGGTGCAAAACGTGCGCACCTTCCTTTCAGTTATTATTATTTAAGAGGAATGGTCATTTTTTTCATTTGATACAGGATGTCCTCATGCAGAGTGTGAGGATGTCCAGCGTCACTTAAGGGACCTTAAGTCCGGTAAGATTACTGAAGTGCCTCTGGTAGACAGCAACTGGAAGCTGACTTAGTGCTGCAATATAGACAATGCGGTTTCTCTGAACTTTACGTTTGATTTACATTTCAGGACTAAGGGCAATAGGTACACTGCACCCAGACCCATTCAATGTGCCTATAGTGTCCCTTTCATTTATAATTATCTGTGAATTTTCAAGCACACTGTGGTTATGGAGCCTTCCCACTTTTAAACTACCTAAAAAAAAAGATTAAATACAACTTGGTAATGTCCACTGAAACAGAGTTACTAATGTTTGGATTTTTATTTTTTAACCACAAAAAGTGTTGTAGATGCAAAGAATGGCTTTGCAGTCGAGGTGGTAGGACTGAGGATATGAGAGAGTCTGAGATTGTCTGTTATAAAGATATAAAGAGCAGTTTTGGTAGCACATTCTAAATACAGAGCAGTTACCTTGGAAACCATTGAGGTTACTCGTCAGCCATCCATTCGTACATGCTTATGTGCAACTGGTCAGGGTGCCCTTATACCTCAACAAAGTGGATTGTGACACATGGCTATATAATATCCAGTACAGCTAAACTTCCTCTCCTCTAAATCCAGCCTTTAAATACGCTATGGTACATGGAATACTCTTTGCATTTCTACTGCAAAGACAGTGATCAAAAGACCCATAAAGTTATACAACAAAGACAGGGGAAAACAAATTCAATGGGGTTTTATGAATTTCTGGAAGGAGATCAGAAAGACCAAAGAAAAGGAAGTCTCAGTTTAGCAAAAAAGGCTTTACACAAAACAAGAAGCGATTGGAATTTTAATTTTAAAAGGTCCAGTTTTGACAGCCCCATATATCTCGGGGAATAAAGGCGCCTCTTGGAGCGTGGTACTGAGGTACAATTTGAGCACTTTCCAAGTGAACAAAACTCTGCATAGGTTCACCTTTACAGATGTGGTTTATTGATAAATAACTATAATGTATAAAATTATTACAGCTAATTACTCTGCATCTACTGATGTCATATCCAAGGCGGGATTATTTAAAGAGACAGGAGCTCTCCTCCTCCTGCGTTAATTCCATGAATTGAAGACGCTCTTGGTATAGGCATCCTTTTGTAGATTTAACAAGTACATAGATTTACCATAGAGTATCTGCCCTAGATAGAGCGTGTTGGGCTTTCTATTTACGTAAGTGCTTGTATGGTCACAAAGTGAGAGGTCAAAGTGCAATATATAAAATTGTCTAGTCTCCTGTGCATTCCTAATTTACGGATCAATTTAGGATATATAGAAATGCCAAACATCTGCTCTATAAAGGATCACTATATGGTCACAAACATGTATTCCTGATCCTATAGTGTTAAAACCACCTTCTAGCCCCCCCAGGCCCCTCATGCCTCCATTAATATAGCAAAATCTTACTGTATTCAAGACGAAAGCTGTAGCTCTGCATGCTGTTAGACTCAGAAAAACAAGCTGTCTGCTGACATCATCAGAAGTGGTAGCCTGATCCAATCACAGTGCTTCCCCATAGGATTGGCTGAGACTGACAAAGAGGCAGATCAGGGGCAGGCCCAGCATGATTCAAACACAGGCCTGGCCAATCAGCATCTCCTCATAGAGATGAATTGAATCAATGAATCTTTATAAGGAAAGTTCAGTGTCTGCATGCATTTTAGGCAGCCATGACCCAGGAAGGATTTCGAACAGCCATCTAAGGAGTGGCCAGTGAAGTTATCACTAGGGTGTAATGTAAACACTGCATTTTCTCTGAAAAGACAGTGTTTACAGCAAAAAGCCTAAAGGTAATGATTCTACCCACCAGAACAAATTCAATAAGCTGTAGTTGTTCTGGTGACTATAGTGTCCCTTTAATGTCATGTCAGTTCTATTTATCAGTTTCCTATTTTCGTTTTCCCTTTTCTTTGCAGGCAGTAGAACAGCTCGAGTCTGCACTCCAGTCAGATATGCACATCGAACACGGGACTATACAGATTCAGTAACTAGACCATCCTTGATTGCGGAATCTGACCTCTTCCTAAAACGTTACTGTGCACCTACAGCTTGCAGCGTGGACAAAGGCAACAGACAATTGTCATTTGTTGGCAAAAGATGTCCAGAAGATATTTATTTGCAATCACCCTATGTCTATGGTTACATAAACAGACTAAAAAAAAAATGTAAAAAAATTAAAAAAAAAGATTTGTCCGCACGCACTCGGCCAGTCGGCATTTTTACTGTCAGTAGACTTTCCTGGACTTGGATCCTATAAAAACACATCAATAAATGCTTAAAACTCTTTGCTGCACGTTGGATAAATTAGTGGACGGGAAACTAAATTTATTTGTAATCAATTATATGCTATTTTTCTATCCACTGTACGGTTTCTACTTGACAAAATATCCAGTGTGGTGTACCTATTATTTTCTGTTTAACTAAACTCTTCACCCCAAAAAACCTAAATACAGATTTATTTATTTTTTTTGCTGAAATTTTGTTTGGAACATCCAACGGATTGGAACTATTTAGTGTGTGCAATATAAACCTTTGTTTCCGTGGTCCCGGTTGTCAACAAATCAAAGCTTGATCAATGAAAATCGCATCACCTGCAAATGATGACTTTTCGTCTGAGGTTTTGGGGTCACTAAGTTAGACCATACACTCCTGCATCATGCTGTATTGGCCAAATTATGTTTATTTCAGACTTCAAACAGACATTTTATTTCAGCAAAAATATATAATATATACCTACACCAACTATAAAGCTACTGATACATATAACCTGAAGCAATTTAATTTATTGATACATTTCCAAACTTACATATGATTAAACGAAGAAAAACTAATTCCTGAAGAGGAAGATCCACCTTTGAGGGGTTTATTGCAAGTAAAATTCTTCCTCTTTCCCATTAAGTAGTTTTATTTTCTTAATTTTATTTTATTTGCAGACTTTGTTTTCTATGTTGTAGATTGTTACTGTTACAGCAAGATTTATTCACTGAAGCAAGAATTGTTTGGAACCGGGAGGATTTCACATCATTGGCCTAAATGGAAACTATCCCCATCTCAACTGTTTTCGCCTAAATTGTGTAGTAAAACAGTTATTCAGGATTTGGGGAAAACTTCAGCAAATTAATGTGGAACAGAGAAGTGATTAACACATTGTAGAGTATTGCCGAAGTGTTAAATGTGCCATTGTGCTATTCAAAATACAATACTTTCTCATTAAGCCCAATATTCTTACTTGCCTTGATTGCCCAAAGAAATGTTTTTAGGTTACTGTTAACTTTTTAGCCTAGACGGTGTAAGTGTAGCCTGTGGTCATGTGATGAAATAGAGGTCACAAATACTCATATATCCTAAATTAAAACAAGGGTTCACTCACTAAACAGTGAGTTGCAATGAATTGAAAACCAACCTGCAAAATGTAAGTGAAAAAAGTGTGAGTATAACTGAGTTGGAGAATATCCAGCTATTTTAGACTAAGATTTGCAGTTTCCTGGGGAATTCCTGAAAATTCACTGCGTGTGATGTTCGCGAAAATGCACGTGAGTTACAATATTCAGACAGAATTAGGATTTCCAGAAAGGTATTGAGTGTAGATTCTTCTTCTCAGTAAAGGAGGGCAATCACAATGTTATTATGTAGTTAAAATTCATTGCAAAGTCTTATGTGTAAACTACCTCAATGTGAAATCAATCTCCATTGATGGTTAACAGATGTCCAGAGTCGTCATCTATATCCAGTAAATACAGTGTATTCAAACATTCATGTTATACATGTGACAAGTATCATGGTTTCAGTCATGTGATTTTTTCATCTTAAAGGATACTGGTCTCTGCAGTAGAGTACTCTAGGTACTTGGATCTGCAGCAGAACACGTAGGTATCTTGTCTCTGCAGTGAAACTATATTATGTAGAGCAAGTCCCAGTGTGCCAGGTTCTACAGCAGAAATCACAGGGACTTTGCCTGTGTGGGGAAATTCACTGTGTACTTGGGTCTGCATTGGCAGCTGAATTCACTGGCAACTCTGTTCTGCAGTACCGGTTAAATTCACTGGGTACTGAAACAGACCTCAAATTATACTTTGTACCTGTGCAGTGCATTTTACATGATAACTAGCTCTGCAGGAGAATACTAAAGGTACTAAATACAGAATTTCAGGGTACATTGGGCTATGCAGTTTAACACAGAAGAAAGATGGGATGGACAGGCTTGTGGTGGCCTTTTTGTCTCAGGGTGTTATTAGTTAAGCAATGCCCTTTAATCCCTACCCTATCAGAATAGAGTATAAACATTTTTATTTTCAGTTACTTTGAAGAATGAAACTTAAGCCATAAAGCCTTTTTTTACTCTCATTTATCTATAGGGATGATTACCTGTCTGTAAAGGAATACATTTCTCTGCCAGAAGCCATTAGTCATTGATATCATGCCTCCAAATTGGTTAAAAAGTTCTTCTCATTCCCTTCTTCTTATCAGTAAAGGAAGTTTTCAATGGGTCATATCATTCCTACTGTCAGGGATGAGGGGGCAGGGTGGAGTTAATGGACACTGCCATTTCACTTGTAGCATTGCATTAGCAGTCCAGAGTTTGATTAACTGTTAATGCAGTTTTAACTATATTTATTTTAGAAAATATATGATTTAACTTTATTTACTGTTCGTGGGCATTATGCTCAAATGTAGACATTCATTTTACAGTCTATTGCCATTTCAGTAAGCTGCACTGCTACTAAAGCCTTCAAGGTCCTTACAAATAACTACACCCTGTTCCAAATTATTATGCAAATTCTATTTAAGTGTCACAAAGATTAAATATTTTGTTTTTCAGTTTAACTCATGGATGGCATTGTGTCTCAGGGCTCTTTTGATCACTGAAAACAATCTCGGACACCTGTGATAATTAGATTGCCAGGTGAGGCCAATTTAAGGAAAAACTACTAAAGGATGGTGTTCCACATTATTAAGCAGAGCACCATTTTCATGCAATACGGGGAAGAAAAAGGATCTCTCTGCTGCCGAAAAGAGTGAAATAGTTCAATGCCTTGGACGAGGTATGAAAACATTAAATATTTCACGAAAACTTAAGCGTGATCATCGCACAATTAAGAGATTTGTGGCTGATTCACAGACGGGTTTGTGCAGATAAAGGCACATTGAGGAAGATTTCTGCCAGATCCATGCATCGGATCAAGAGAGCAGCTGCTAAAATACCATTACATAGCAGCAAACAGATATTTGAAGCTGCTGGTGCCTCTGGAGTCCCACGGACATCAAGGTGTAGAGTCCTCCAGAGTCTTGCAACTGTGCATAAACCTTCTATTTGGCCACCACTAACCAATGCTCACAAGCAGAAATGGCTGCATTGGGCAGAAAAATATATGAAGACTAATTTTCAAACAGTCCTGTTCACTGATGAGTGCCGTGCACGCTGGATGGTCCAGATGGATGGAGTAGTGGATGGTTGGTGGACAGCCACCCTGCTCCAACAAGGCTGCGACATCAGCAAGGCAGTGGAGGAGTCATGTTTTGGCCCGGAATCATGGTAAGAGAGCTGGTCAGCCCCTTTAGGGTCACCGAAGGTGTAAAGATGACCTCTGCAAAGTATGTGGAGTTTCTGACAGCACTTTCTTCCCTGGTACAGAAGGAAGAACTATGCTTTCCGTAATAAAATCATCTTCATGCATGACAATGCACCATCTCATGCTGCAAAGAATAGCTCTGGGGATAAATGGAGAGAAAGTCATGGTGTGGCCTCCATCCTCCCCTGACCTCAATCATATTGAGAACATTTGGAGCATCCTCAAGCAAAAGATCTATGAGGGTGGGAGGCAGTTTACATCCAAACAGCAGCTCTGGGAGGCTATTCTGACATCTTGCAAACAAATTCAAGCAGAAACTGTCCAAAAACTCACAAGTTCAATGGATGTTAAAATGTAACGTGTCCTGTTAAAATGTTTAAAAAGTTAAAATGTTGTTATACGTTTGATTGAAATAGCTTTGGATTTCAGTAAATATGCTGCAAACACAACAAATGACAATTTTCAGTTCTTTACAACCTATAAAGTGTTTTGAAACTTACTGTGCGTAATAATTTGGAACAGTGCATTGTAAGTTTTTTATGTTTAAAAAAATACTGTTATCATTAGGAGGTTTGTTCAATAAATTTTTAATTGTACTCTTAATAGTTGATGTAACGGACCGTTTCAGCACACAAGGGGTTAAAACTGTTTAGGCGATCGTCCCCTTCCAGAGATGCAGGCACAGCTACTGCAGAACACCAATCCGCCGAACAGGAAACCATACGAATGCTGTAAACAGCCGAATAGGAAAAACCATACGAATAGGTTTACATTCCTAGCAGTCGAACTGGAACAGCATACAATGAATCCCCCCAAGAACGAGACAAAGCTCCGTGTTGAGGGTCAAGCAATGAACATGTCCAGGTGTCTCACTACGGCTGGGTACGGGTATGCTGACTTGGTGGGTTTCTGCGTGGGCAGAGACCAGCAGTACTCTGCCCTGTTGCCAGCGCTACTGGGAGGGTAGCCTGGTTGAAGCCCGGTTGTTGGAGGGGGAGACCGACTGTCTCCCCTTTAGATACACAGCCCTGCTGCTGGAGACCGACTGTCTCCCCTTTGGACACACAGCTCTGCTGCTGGAGACCGACTGTCTCCCCTTTGGCTAAACAGCCCTGTCGCTGGGGGGCAGAACCGACCGTCCCTACCCCCTGTGCTGGACGTGCAGAGACCACTGTCCCATCTGCACAGTTGTGGGGCTTACTGTCTCCCCCTGGTACATTAAGCTGCCGCTGGGGAGAGGGGGTAACAAGCTCCTCTCCCATGCATACTTCCAGCCGCGGGGGAGGGAGACCGACTGTCTCTGCTCCCAATACAGAGTCCTGCTGCTGGGGAAAGGAGACTGGGCTCTCTATTCCCGGTAGGACACTCTGCCGCTGGGGAATGGAGACTGGGCTCCCAATTCCCAATAAATCATTCTGCCGCTGGGGAATGGAGACCGGGCTCCCAATTCCCTGTAATTCACACTGCCACTGGGGATCTGAGCCGACTGCCCAGCATCCCTGTAGCTCACCCTGTCGCTGGGGAGGGAGTACGCTGCTCTCCTCTCCCTGCAAGGTACACTGCAGCTGGGGGACAGGACCACTTGTCTCTGCCCCCTCTAACTCAGCCTGCCGCTGGGGAATGAAGCTTGGGCTCCCAATTCCCTGCAATATCTCCCGCTGGGGAATGGAGCTCGGGCTCCCAATTCCCTGCAATACCGGTGGAGAGACCTCGGTCCCATCTCCACCTGCCGCCTGGCGTTCCTCCCAGTAAATTTCAACAATATCTTCCCAGCTGAATGGGTCTGTAACTGGATCTGTCACCTTGCTGTCCTGCTGAGCCTTCTCAATGGAGTGGAAGAGATCTCGGTAGTCCTGCTCCAGTTCCCACTCCAGGGTTGCTAGGTGAGCCAGGTCTTGCTCAATTTCGTGAGTGTCGTCCCAGTCATACCTGCTCTCCCTCCACTCCAAGAGATCACTAAACCGGGCTTGTGTAGGGCTCCCAAACTCAGGCTCTGAAAAAGCCTCCCATAACAAGCCAGGACCATCAAACTCCTCTCCCTCTGGCTTGTCATGCTCGGCTGTCCAGGGCAGGTACTGTGCCCCATACCACCAGAGCGCCTGGTAGGCATCTTCCAGCCAAATCTCCTGCCATACCCGGAGCTCCATTTCCTTCACCCATTCCTCCAGGGGCTGCTCTCCCAGGAAGGGCATCCGCAGGGCCACTTGCTTCTGCAACCGCTGCTCTTCACTGGGGAGACTCTCACCCTGCTGGTATTGTACATTATCCAGGGCCTGGTACCAGATGCCTTTCCTTAATGCTTTGAGGCCATCCAGGTCCTCCTCCTCGTATAACACTGCTGGTTCCATCTCGGTGCTGTCAGGGTCGCTGTATTCAGACATGCGTTGCCCTCAAATTGGAAATCCACGGAATGGTGTCGCCTGTAGCTGTCCTTTTGTCTGTGGGAACGATCCCACTGCTACCACCAATTGTAACGGACCGTTTCAGCACACAAGGGGTTAAAACCGTTTAGGCGATCGTCCCCTTCCAGAGATGCAGGCACAGCTACTGCAGAACACCAATCCGCCGAACAGGAAACCATACGAATGCTGTAAACAGCCGAATAGGAAAAACCATACGAATAGGTTTACACTCCTAGCAGTCAAACTGGAACAGCATACAATAAATCCCCCCAAGAACGAGACAAAGCTCTGTGTTGAGGGTCAAGCAATGAACAGACAGAGCTGTGGGTTTATTGTGCTTATGTACACATTCTTACACATTAGTACCACCCACAGGGTTTTGGAACACAACCAATAAACACATACAATACACTCAGACACTCTCACAAAAATTCCTCCCCTCTGCATGTGATTCAATTACCTTACACAATGGGTAATGTAATTTAGCACAAGCAGGGAAATACAATTTTTCCACATTATTCATAACTTGAAAAGTATGCATCACATTCACATAAACATACATTTTCAGAATCAGCATACTCCAAATACAAACATACGTCAAAATCATACAAATTGGTCCAGTGGTTCAAAAGATAGATAGTAGTCCTTTGTGACCACAGGAAGCATGGACTTTCTGCCCAAAACCAGTTCCACAGAGTCTTCTATCCTGGAGATAATTAGAAATAATCCAATTATCTCCAAAGACAGAGGCAAAACTCCATTGAACACATGGCAGAAAAAAGACAGTAAAATACAATAAAACACAATAAAATACATAAGGTTACATTTATGACATAAAATACAGACATGCAACATATGCCCAGATAGCTTAGGTCTGAGCGCACATTATTACTGAATGACATACAGTTCAATTGCCATGGAGCCAAAGTCTTTCCCATAGTCTTTCATTATACGAATGGGCTCCATGGCATAGCTATCTGGGGTATCACTGCTCAAAAAGGGCAAGCACCAAATGACCCGGCTTTCTTGTCTTTGCAGGGGAAAATCAAGCCTTTTAACATGGGGCCATAATCCAAAGGCAACAGCCGAGCAACCAGGTTTCTCCAATGCAATGTGGCGAGATTGCTCTCGTCACAGTTGATAACATGAGAATTATGCTGACTGTTATTTACATCAATTATTTAGGTAAATGAGAAAAATATCATTTGCATAATAATTTGGAACAGGGTGTATAAGGAAGATATTTTACCATTTATATTTATTTTTGTCATACCTACTGTTTGCTAGAACAATTGCAATGTTGCTCTTTTACTAAAGTTTCCAACCCTGTGTGAATTATTGGAAGACAAATGACACTATGCACTGTCTAAATCTTTGAATTTCCCAAATATTTTATATAAAGGCTGAACAATTAAATGAAAAATAAAAATTGTGTAAATTTACATGATTTGAATTTTTAAGTTTGTCCGCAAAGCAATTTATACACAAAATTGCTGTGTTATGATGTGTTGATAGAACCTTATATGCCAACTAGGCATCCCTTGCTTCAAATACATGTTATACAATCAGTCAAAAAGAGCTCGGTGGTGAATGCGTTAATTAGTTCTATCAACATGTGTATTAACTCTTGTATTTGTGATAAACGTACATAAATATCCCACTTAGACAATCTGCATTTTAGCTTTTTAACATGGCCTTATAACAATTACAACTTTGCATTAAAGGGACACTATAGTCACCAGAACATTTACAGCTTAATGTAGTTGTTCTGGTGAGTATAATCATTCCCTGCAGGCATTTTCAGAGAAAAGGCAGTGTTAACATTGCCCCGAGGGACACCCCCAGTGGCCACTGTTCAAATAGCTACTGGAGGTGCTTCCTGGGGCAGTGCTGCACAGTAGGCAACACTGCCATTCAGAGTCTGCATGGAGACACTGAAGTTTCCTCATAGAGATGCATTGATTCAATGCATCCCTATGAGGAGGTGCTGATTGGCCAAAATGGTGTTTGGCCCTGCCCCCATCCCACCTCCTTGCCGATTTCAGCCAATCCAATGCTTTACCTATGGGAAAGCATTGGATTGGCTAAAAATCGTAAATTCTGATATCACTTAGGAGGCATGCGGCACTCAAAATAAGGTGAGTTTTAACACCTTCTAATAGGTATGGGGATGGGAGAGGGTAGAGGGGGAACAAGCCACTTAAATGATTTTAACACTATAGGGTCAGGTATACATGTTTGTGTTCCTGACCCTCTAGTGTTCCTTTAATCTCTAGAGCCTAAAGTGTCTGTAGGTGTAAGGAATTAAATTAGAAGTGAAAAAGTTGATACAAATGTATCCGCTGCTCCTAGATAGGGAAGTGTTCTAAGCAGAAGAAACAAGTGATGTAAATTCGTGTTAGTAAAAGTGATGGCCGTGGAACTGAGCTGAACATTTTTTTATTTTGCCTGTGTGACATTAAACTTTTGTTTTATTTATTTATTGTTTTTAACAGAAGCAAAGCCTTTGTGCTGGCAGTGTGCACTAAAACTACCGTATATCTGTACAGATGTAAGCTATTTTATGCAGAGAGATCTCACTACCATCTATCTGTCTTTGCTTAAGACAGAGAAAATGCATGTCAAATACTTTCACTTTTGTGTAGGTAAGTCTGTAAGCATCATGTATAAAAAGTACAAGCAGGATTTCTGGTTCAAACAGCCACTTCATGGCTGGACAGACGGAGGCTCAATATAGAGCCAGCTGGCATCAGTTTTACAGTAACCACAGGCGCCTTGCTGAGAAACGCACATGGTTGCATATTGCCTCTCCTGACCAGCGCAATATGAAGAGCCACCATAACAACAATTAAAATGGCCATCGTGATTATAACTCTTAATGTCCTGGAAGGGCCTGTGTTAGGGGACTGTGAACTAATTTCATATGATTTCCAAACGTGCTTGGGAGATTAATCGTGTGTGTGTGTATTTATGTATATTATAAATAAAGAGTATGTTGAGTTACGAAAAATAGGTACAAATGCTTGACAGACATGTACACAGCTGGCAAAAGGAGTGCCCTGTGTATTGAATGTGAAACTACAGAACATGATGATTTTTTGTAACCGCTATGTGCATAACAAAGTTTCAACAAGTTAAGATTGCAAAGCTTGTATGTTTTATAGTTCTGTCATTTTTACTGGAGGTTCCAGAACACAATCACAGTAAAACTACAGAAAAAGAGGAAACAGAAAAATATCCATGAACCCTATATTATCTGCAGGGCAGTGAAGGGCACTGTGGGTAATGGAACGCTGCGTCTTGTGTCTTACAATAGGAAATACAGGTATGTCCTATCATCCAGAGATAAATAGTAGATATAATTGCTTGTTACACAACCAAAAAGGTATTTGTGTAGAACCCACTAAATTGAGCCTTTAGGAAACAGACCACTGTGTCTATCTTGTAACAGTGTAGTGTAATGGCATCCTGCGTCAAAAGGGTCGCCAGAAAGACACAAGGTGCCAGATGTAACGCTACACTCAGAAAAGGTGTTGTGGGGTTTTCTTTTGCTCGTGCAAACACAAATGTTTCTAGATATCAATTGGATAGATAAGTGTTTTCAGATGTGAATTCTTGAAGTGTCCTATGGTTTTCTTAAAATGCCTAACTCCTAGGGCCGTCGCCTTTCGAGCCCAACCCCTATTGTGGTTAGTGGTTAGTGGTTGTGGGGGGGTGTGATTCTAACCTCTGCGACTGCTTGAGACGTTCCACGTCTATTATCTCTTTCCACTTCTTACGGGGGTGGTGACCCTCTGATTGCTATATCCTGGTTCCCCCCATTCTGGAATGACCTCGCAGCGGTCCCCTGTGGTGCTACTGGGCTCTGAGTCCCCTCTGATCCCTCTCTATATTCCCTCCATCTCTCCCCCGCTTTTTTAATGTTTCCCTGTGGTGTCAGGTGTTTGAAGGCCATTAATTCATACTTCCAATTGGTGTCTGCTTGGTTTATTAATGCTTCCCTGTTTGGCACCTGGGTTGATTTCCATGCTCTGGCTAATAGCGTTACTGCAGAAATTAGCATGTGGAAGATTAGTCGTTCCTCAATTTTGTTCAGTGTTGTGGGGATCATAAAGAGTACGCATTGTTCAAGGTTAAGTGGCCAGTGTCTACCTATCAGCTTCCCTATTTCCTGCTCCATCGTCACCCAGAGTGGTGCTAGTCTCTCGCAGGACCACCATGTGTGTCCCATTGACCCTCCCTGGGCCCCACATCTCCAGCATCTGTTGGGGGAGTCTGGGTACATTTTGGATAGCCTCTCTGGTACCATATACCACCTGTATTGTAGCTTCCTTATAGTTTCTAAATGTGTGAAGCATTGTGTGTTCCCCTTGTGAATTTTAAAGGCCCTCTCCCATTTCTCCTGTGATAGGACGTATCCCAGTTCTCCATTCCACGCTTCTTGGAATGGCTTAATGGTGTCCCGTGGCTCCTTATACAGCGTAGATAGTGTACGTTTGACTGGTTTTGGTGAGAAGCATAGGTGCTCTAATTTACACTGTTGTTGATGTGGTGTGTTTTGTACTTCTATCCCCTTGAGAAAGGACTTCAGTTGTAGAAATGGGAATATGGCTCTATTTGGGAGGTGATATAGTTCTTGGAGGTCTGGAAAGGTCATTAACTGTCCTTCTTTGTATAGATGTGTGACTGTTGTGCACCCTCCATCTCTCCATTGTTTATGTTCAAATGTTGGGATTCCTAACGCGATCACGGAGATCGGGGCATTCCCCGGTATACTGTCCCGGGCCCTCTCCCTACCCTTTTCTCATCCCAGATTGCCATGGTGGTCGGTAGGGGGTCGATGTGTGCGGGGCGTAGGTGTCTTGGTAGCCAGAATATGTTGTGTAAGCCATACCCTCCCGCCCAGTGGGCTTCTATTTTGGACCATTGTGGGGTTTCCCCTTCTGTCGTAGATGCTTTGATAGCTGCTATGTGTGCGGCCTTATAGTAAGTGTGGATATTTGGTAGCCCCAGCCCTCCTTTTTCGATCGGTCTTTGTAGGACCCAGGCTGCCACCCTTGGTTTTTTCTTTGCCCATATGAATCGGACCAGGAGACTCTGCAGCGTTTTAAAGTATGATTTTGGTAGCTTTATGGGTAGTGTGCGTAGAAGATATTGGAGTTTGGGAAGCAGCATCATCTTCAATGCTGCCAGCCTCCCTACCCAAGATAAATATTTGCCCTCCCAACCTTCTAAAGTCGCTGCTAGTTCTTTGTAGAGTTTGGTGTAGTTTTTTTCTATTAGCTTATTTAATTGGGTCGGGATGTTTATGCCTAGGAACGTAATGTGGTCTGTTCTCCAGTCGAATGAAAAGGCCGATTTAAGTCTATCTAGAGCGTCCGTCCCTATCCCTACTCCCATGGCTTGAGTCTTGCTAATGTTTAGTTTATAGTACGAGTGCCGTCCGTATTCTAGAATTGTTTCCACCAGGTTGGGGAGAGAGATCTGTGGTTGTGTCAGGGTGAGCAGCACGTCGTCGGCAAATAAGTTTGTTTTGTATTCCTTGTCCCCTATAGTCACCCCATGTATTGAGGCGTGTTGTCTTATGGCTATCGCAAGCGGTTCCAGCGCTAAAACATAAAGTAGTGGGGATAGCGGGCACCCCTGGCGTGATCCATTAGTTATGTGGAAGGGATCTGACACGAACCCCGCGTTTAGGACTTGGGCCGTTGGCCTGTTGTATAGAGCCCTGACCGCCGAGAGGAAGCCCTCTGGTATCCCGACCTTAGTAAGGACCGCCTCCAGGAACTCCCAGTTCAGTCGGTCGAAGGCCTTTTCTGCGTCCAATGCTACCACCACGCCTCCCATTCTCATGCGTTGGGCACTGTATATTATGTCAAGCACTTTCCTGGTGTTGTCTCCCCCTTGTCTGCCTTTTATGAACCCCACTTGGTCCGAGTGGATGAGGTGAGGAAGCAGGCTTCCCAACCTGTGTGCATATATTTTGGCGTATAGTTTGGCGTCAGTGTTGAGGAGGGAGATAGGGCGGAAGTTTTGGGGGCAGGTGGGCGGCTTCCCCGGCTTGGGTAGCGTTATGATGTGGGCTAATAGTGTTTCACGGGGTAAGCTTTGTTGTTGAGTGGTTTCGTTATAAGCTTTCGTTAAATATGGCACCAGGATGGGTTTGAATGCCTTGTAGTAGCAGTTAGCAAAGCCATCTGGGCCTGGGGCCTTGCCTGTTGGGAGTTGTTGGATTGCTGCGTCCACCTCCTCTTCGGTGACGCTGGCGGAGAGTGTGTGTCGTTGTTGCAATGTCAGTGAGGGCATTGGTATCTTGTGCAAGTATTGTTGTATGTTCTGTGAGTTTGGTTGATGTGTTGTGGCATCATTCACCAGGTTATAAAGGGATGCGTAGTATTTGGCGAACGCATTGCTAATGTCCTTGGGGGCTGTGATTTTGTGACCCTCTTCCGTTCGGATGTATGCTATCTTTTGTTTAGTTTGGATTGTTTTGAGGCGCTGTGCCACTAGTTTGCCTGCCTTGTTTCCTTGAGCGTACTGTGTCGCTTTAAGCCTCTGGAGGTGCTGTCCTGTTCTATCTAGTGCTTGTTTGTGCATGTCATGCGTGAGCTGAATAATGCGTTTCTTTAGGTCTTGTGAGGGGTTCCTTTGGTTTAGGGTCGTGATGTCTAGTAGTTCTTTCTGCCTCTCCTGTTGTTGTGTGTCTGCCTGTCGTTTGAGGGTTGCTGCTCTTTGGATCAAGAGTCCTCGTGCTACGGCTTTGTGTGCCTGCCAAATCGTATTGTGGGATACCTGAGCTGTCGTATTTTCCGCGAAGTAGTGTCGCAGTGCTCTTTCTATTGTTTTACAGAAGTTGGGGTCCCTGAGGAGAGAGGCGTTAAGTCTCCAGGGGCTTTTGTGCTTGGAGTCGTATAGGTCGGTCAAAGTCACTACTACCGGTGCATGGTCTGACCATGTGAACTGTTTGATGTCGCATTCTTTTATTTGGTCTAGGTGTTGTCCCTTAACTAGTATGCCGTCAATCCTGGAGTACGTGTTGTGTACCGTGGAGAAGAATGTGTAGCCCCTTTCCCCAATATGTGTCGCCCGCCACACGTCGTAGTAGTGGTGTGTATTGAGTAGTGTTTGTATTGGTTTACATTGACGTTTGAGCGGTCGCATTCTGGGTGCTGCTGGCGACGCCGTGGAGTCTACCGTGGGGTCCATCACGTGGTTGAAGACCCCACATATTATACTAATCCCCTTTTGTGTTGTTTCTAGTTTCTTTATTATTTTATGGAGGAAAAGTTTTTGACCTTCGTTTTGGGCATAGACGTTCATGATCGTATACGTGATGTCATTAAAGTCGCCCACCACCAGGACATATCTCCCTCCCTCGTCCACTTCTAGATGTGAAAGGGTAAACGCTACATCTTTGCTAATAAGTATGGAGGCTCCCTTTGATTTGTTGGAATAGGTAGCGTGGAACTGGTGCGGGAAGTCTTGTGCGAACAGTGGGGAGTGAGTTCGTTTTAAAGTGAGTTTCCTGTAGGCACACTACGTCCGGGTTGTTTTGTTTCAAATCCCGGCGTAGTAAGCTGCGTTTAGCAGGGCTGTTTAAGCCTTTGGTATTGTGGGTGTATATTTTCATGGGGGTTTAAAAGGTGTTATTCGCTTACCCTGATAAGCGTCGGTGTCTATGTGTGGGGTAGCCGCCTTACCCAGCCATTTCGAACCAGGCGACTCTCCCTTGTGAATCTGATGTGTTGTGTCCCCATAGGGGGTTCTTTCCCTAGGTAGAGTGTGGGGGATGTGGTCATTGTGTTGTGCATTCTCTGATTGACAACTGGGGTAATAACAGAACAGAACTAAAACTTTACAAACTGCCATATATCTGGCTTGGCGCCTGTCCAAGGTGCCTTGGGGGAAGAAGCGTATTGCTTCCATTCCTGTGTGAAGCCTTTTTGTGGCCTAACCGTCTTGTGATAAGCTAGTCACCCGCGCTGTGCGTGGCTTGAGTAGTGCTGTGGTGTCTATAGCAAACCCTAACTCTAGGGTGTTCTTCTATTCCCTTAGTGTGTCCCATGCTACTGGGTTCTCAGCCCCCCCGCTTGGTATTGTCCCATGAGTTGTGCATAGTCCCAAAGTCTCTCAATTTTACTTGCCACGTCCTGCGGTGTTTGCGCCGTCTATCTGCGTCTGGGCACCTTTCGCCACATGGGTGTGACCCCGCTGCGGTCCGGCGCGGCGGCTGGGGCAGGTGGAGGCGGTATTCCCCAGTCCTGGAGAGCTTTCAGGCCCGCTTCAGGGGTGTGGATGGCTGTGATTGTGCCTTCATGGGAGATGAGCAGCTTTACCGGAAATCCCCATCTGTATGGCTTCTTATGTTGCCGCAATTGCTCTGCGATGGCTGCGAAAGTCTTCCTCTTTTTCAGTGTTGTGGCTGAGATGTCTGCATAAATGGTTGTTCTCTGGTGCGGCTCTGGGAGGGATTGGCGCTGTCTGCTTGCTCTCATAATGTCTTCCTTAACGTAGAAGTAATGCAAGCGTACTAGCACATCTCTTGGCGCGTCGGAGGTTAAAAATCTGGGCTTCGGAACTCGATGGTATCTGTCCAACAGGAGTAGGTCTTGGGGTAAATCCGGTGCTAGGATTTTAAACAGGCTCTGCAGGTGGGCATGGAGATCTGCCGTGCTCACCGATTCTGCTATACCCCTGATCCTGAGGTTGTTGCCCCGCGATCTGTCCTCCATGTCTGCTATTTTGTTGCCCAGGGCTTCCAAGGTGTCCTGCATCTCCTCCATGTCTGCCCTCAATTCTTTATGGGTAGAGTGTGGGGGATGTGGGGATGTTCTGCCATTTGGTCTTCCAGCGTTGAGGTCCTGGCACCCAGATCTTGCATGTCTGCCCTGATTTCTTTTAGGGCTGAGTGTAGTGTGTGTTGCAGTTTGTCATGCATGCTGTCCAGCATACGTTGGAGGATCCCCTGGGTCACTGGTGCTTCAGGCTGGGAAGGTTTTTGCAGCTCGCTGGCGTCGTCCTCGGCGCCATCTTGTGGCTCCTCTGATGCAGCCGCGTGTTTGTGTGGCGCGTTCCGGACCCCGAAAAAGTTATTTTTTTCGGCTCTGTCTGTCTGCCGCCTGCCCTTCTGCTGTGCCATCCTGCCCGGGGGTCTGTGTGCGGGTTTTCGCTATCGGGTGGTTGTAACGCTAATTAGTTAGGCCGCGGGAGCACGGAGCTATTCTAACATGCGGCTGCTCCGGTCGAGCTCCAGGCCACGCCCCCAAACCCTGTTTATGTTTAAAGGACCACTTGTAGTTTTAACCCTGCAATGGAAAACATTGTAATTTAGTAAAAAAAACAACCACAACAGGTGCTTCTGCACCAACACGTGTGTAAAACTGCCATGTGACTGTACAGCTCATAGGAAATGAAGTGATTTGAATGCATTTTGCATGCACACCAGTGGCGGATCCCCCCCACCCCGAGAAAATAGTATAGCACCGAGGCTCTTGATCCCACTTGCCGTCCCATGCAGGGCCAGCACTATCCAATTGCCGGCCCTGCTTTGTGCATTCACGCACCAGAGGGAAGATCAGAAATCTGCCTTACCGGCCTACTGGCACTGAAATGTGGTATCACACACACATTGCAACCCTCACACACATTGAACCCCTCATACACACACACTACTGCTCCTATCCTGGAAGACCTCAGGTAAGTTGTCAAATTGTTCTTAAACTGTTTGACTACTTACTCTGGGAGGGCACCACGGCACTCCTGGCAAAATAACTGCCACAGAGACCTGTAGTGGTTATTGTGCCTGGATTATTCCTTTAAAAATAATCTACCCCCTCCCGACAGGTTCTGGATCCGCCTCTGATGCACACTCTGCGTTTTTACTGCAAACATGGGGAGGGGCACTAGGACACCATCCTGTTAGGAATCCAGGTTTGTTTCTTTAAACCCTGTGAATTTTATTACATTGTGAATCGGAGTGCTCTGTCATTGTCTTTGACCTTTCAGAGTTTTTTGTAGGAGATGTTGGCAGACGGTCAGTTCACTTGGCTTAGATCTGGTAATGTGTAATCATTCTGCGAAGCTGATCAGCCCATGTGCGCCGTGCAGTAATGTTTATGGCCCTTGGACTAAGCTATGCTTGATGCAGTTTTTGTCTACTCACAGCAGGACTGCTGGCGAGTGCAGGAGACAAAGTAGAGTATGAGATTACATGCAGCGATAAAAATGCTTTTTAGGAGGCGTGGCCTTTTCCCTCTTGTCTAAAATGACTTATCCCATATTTTGAAGTAAATCTTAGTGTCGCGGGGGCTTATACATTAAACACCAGATTATAGTGAATTGGAACCCGAATTGTAGCATGTGTGACTATAGCTAAGTAGGAAATTGTTTTCAAATCTAGTCTTGTTGCCAAAAGTTTGTGATTTTGTTTTCACTTTACTACAATCCAGTTTTTAGTGAATAGACCCCACAGCATGCTACGTGTATTTCTTATACTTCTATATAATATAAATCCTAAATAAACAGTAGTCATTGCCATTTAATCTCATTTAATTGGTCATAATCCCCTGACACTGTCCACCATTCAGCGTTAGATCATTTTAGAGCAGTTTATTACTAACTAAGGGTACATGGTGATCCACAGCCGGCCTCTACAGAACGTGTGACTAAGAGAGAGATTATACACTTCCTTGTAGTCGTACTCTTCATACCTGCAATGGGCGCTCTGATAGGTTAAACCATAGGTCCTCAAACTCCGGCCCCCCAGATGTTGCTGAACTACAACTCCCATGATTCTCTGGCTATCTATGTAATTCAAAGAATCATGGGCGTTGTAGTTCAGCAACATCTGGGGGGCTGGAGTTTGAGGACCCATGGGTTAAACAGTCAGATGACACTCTCAACCATTCACAGCTTCCCATTGCTGCTCCGAGTAATACTTCCTCATTAGCCTGAGCAACATAGAGATGGGCATAGGCAGCTGGAGACTCTTGTGTAGCATAAAAACTGTATAACGCTGAATGAAAGGATGACTCCAATGGACACAAGACACTATAACCAATTCAATGAGCTGAACCAGACACAGTGCCTACAGTGTCCCTTTACGTTATTACATTGTGTTAATCACAAAATTGTAAATACCAAAAACAGCAGCAAAGAAACAATATAGAAAGGAATGCTATCTAGAGGTATATATGTTTTATTTTAACACTTTTTTTCCCTATATTTAGTATTTTCATAACTTGAGGCCGTTCTATTTTTTTTAAATTGCTTTGTATTATTGAAAATAAAGCCTTTTTTCCCCTATTATTGTATAAGTATTCATATCCCCATCCATGAATGTTTTCTGTTAGTGTCTGTACATTACCCGTTTCAATCTTCCGTTCCCAAATATTCAATTTGATTTGCGCCCAGTGTAAAGTAATTGTTCTCAGCCAGTTTTCGTTTCTTTCGTGGAATATTTTTTATGCCTGAATCAGTTATTTTATCAATAATATATTTTACATTTTTGACAGATCCGAGCTCTCCTCAAACTCTAACCATTTATAAGCTGGCTGGTGAAAGATGCAAAAGATTTGATTATCCAGGCGCTTGGGAATATGTGCAAGCCTTCTCAGAATCTGTGATCAATGTTGACGTGTCGAGTTTGTATAACCTGGAGTTAATAAAAATTCAGACTAGCCAAAAAGTACCAGCTTATGGTTCTCCACAGTTTTGCAAGTCCGTGCCAGAGAAGAGTGAGGAAGGGATCAGTGGGACCAGTGGAAACACTGAATATGGGTCCGTTTTATTGAAAGTGATATGAGATATTTTATCCTGAACCTTAATTATTTGCACTTGGAAATAGGATTGCATATGCCATCTGCAAATGTTAGTGAAACAGACTCTATTTGCACAATTGACACGTGTCCACAATGTCTGCACTAGCCTGTAATAATGTATCCATCAATCTCTCAGTAGCTGTTCCTGACCATGCTCTAATGTGGCGACAGTTATATTTTTATATATATGATATTCAAGCGGCCTTGAAATGTTGATTGAATTGCCCCTGTGTAAAAAATTTAGATTATTGTATAGGGAGATACATGTCATGCTCAGAGATGGGATGGTCAGTATAAGGCACAAATGTATACAGCCATTGAGCCTGGTTTCCTCTATGAACAATGTTATGCTTTATACAATTTTGGAATCTTCCAGGACACATTTCTTAGCTGGACCCATTACATCCTACTTTCTTTGATCTATGGAAAATTACATTGCAGTCTAAATATATAGGCATTATTATCTAGTTGGTCCTCCTTTGCAGCTATATCAGCTTCCACTCTTCTGGGAAGACTTTCCACAAGATTTTGGAGTATTTATGTGGGAATTTCTGCCCACTGATTCTGTAGAACATTTGAGAGGTCAAGTACTGACGTTGGATGACCAGACCTGGCTCACAATTTCTATTCCAGTTAATCCCAAAGGTGTTTGATTGGGGTAAAGTCAGGGATCTATGGGGGCCAGTCAAGGTCTTCCAAACCAAACTCATCCAACCATGTCTTTATGAGCTTGCTTTGTGCACTGGGCCATTGTAATGCTGGAATGGAAAGGGCCTTCCCCAAACTGTTTCTACAAATTGGAAGCATAGCATTGCCCAAAATGTCTTAGTATGCTGAATCATTAAGATTTACCTTCATTGGATGTAAGGGGTCTAAACTAACCCCTTGAAAAACAGCCCCATACTATTATCCATCCTCCACCAAACATTACAGTTGGCATATTGCAGTCCGGCAGGTAACATTCTCCTGGCATTCGCAAGACTCATGCATCAGACGGCAAAACAGAGCAGTGCGATTCGTCACTCCACAGAACACGTTTCCATTGATCCAGAGTCCAGGGGTATCGTGCTTTACACCACTCCGTCTGACATTGTACTTGCTAATGTGAGGCTTGCATGCAGTTGCTCGGCCATGGAAACCCATTCCATGAAGCTCCCAACGCACAGTGTTTGTGCTGCTATTAATGCCAGTAGAAGTTTGTAACTCTTCAGCCATGGAATCAGCAGAGCGTTGGTAACTTTTACGCACCATGCGACTCAGCACTCTGTGTCTTTACGTGGTCTTCCACTTTCCAATAATACCACTTACAGTTGACCATGGAATATCTAGCAGGAATCACATTTCACAAACTGACTTATTGCAAAGGTGGTACCCTATCATAGTACCACAATTACACAAATGTTTGTAAATGCAGAATGCATGGCCAGGTGTTTGACTTTATACACCTATGGCAATGGGTATGATTGAAACACCTGAATTCAATAATTAAGAACACCTGAATTCAATACTTTTGTCCATATAGTGTATCTAAAGCATATTGTAAGTACTGTATAGCTGTCATCTTAAACAGACATCTCTACATAGCCAGATGTCATCTAAAACAGATCACAGGTTTTAGAATCTATCAAAATCTTCAGGCACCCCTGCTCGTTGCCACACTTTTCTCAGGCTGACCTCAGGCCTGACCTCTCCAAGAATTATCTTAATTTTAACCTCTTACACTCATAATTCATCACAAATATGTCAATGACCAATATTGACTCCACACAACTGGATTTACCAATATTGAACTGATTGCATTAATAAAATGAGGTACACAACAGATTGAAATATACTTCTACTGGACCATCTTACCACCCGGTAGAGATACCGTCAGCTGAACACCACAAACAAGGTACATTTAAACTAAAAAAAACAGCTCCCCCATGTGTAAATTGGGTTTTGGATTTGACCATCCATTCAGCAATGCTCAGATTTCATTTCTAAACACCAAGAAAACTAATTGATGAAACCTATTTCACTAAAAACCATTGGATTTGAATTCCTGTAATCTGACCTGCATGCATGCTCTCTTATCTGTTATCTACAATGCAGCTTGAAGTACAAAATCTCACACCTCACTCTGGCCTGAATCTTATAGAGCAGGGCAATGTAACCAGCCCCCACTGCTAACATTTCTACAAAAACTAGAAGACTTTTTAAAAAAATTTATTTTTGCTGTGCATATTGATGAAACAAACAAGCTTATGGTGCCCCAACAGCAATCCACTTGCTGAGGTCAAAAACAGTTGTAACAGTGAGGCGTGTGGTAGCATTTGTACAATTTTACATTTGAGACAAGATAACGTGTATGGTAAGGCAATTATTGTTAAAAGTATTTTGCTATTTAATTGTAGCTTAGTGAGCCGTAGATAGGGGCCGTAGCTGAGGTGTATGTTCCCCTCCAGGAGGGTTGTGTGACTCCTGTCTGTGGGATGTGATGTGGGTCTATGTGTCAGGGTTTCTTTGCTGTTTTTAACAGCAACCATTCCTTTTTCAGTGTCTGAGGTTTCAGTTGAGAGTAACGATCAGCTCCTTCACTATGTTGCCACGGTTACTCACCTGAGAATAGTAATCAACCCTGCTGCTAATCAGTTCAGCCTATTTAAGCAGCAAATCCCAGAACCTCCTTGCCCTTGCGTGGTTTCCTGTTCCCCAGAAGTCTCCATGTTCCTGTGTTTCCTGTTTGTTCCTGGTTCCTGACTCTGGCCTTGTTCCTGACTCCGCTGCTCTCCGTTCTCCTGATCCTGGTTCGTCTGACTACCCGCTCTGACCCCTGCTTGCCTCCTGCACTTTGCTTTTGGTTATTTATTTATTCGTTATTTATTAATAAAGGTGTTTTTGCATCTAGTTCACTCTGTCTGGTTCCTGGTCCCTAACACTATGGTCCTCCCGGGGGTGTGGGTGGCGTGTCGCCATGTGTTGGATGGGGGGGTTCGATACTGTGGGTTCTGGGGTATCAGCTATTGGTGTGGAGCTTTCTGTGTTGGGTTCTCGTGTGTGACAAACGTGCCATATGTATAGCCTGTCTAGTATGTTGTGCAGAGTGAATCATATTAAATCATATGTATGTAAGGCTAGTGTCTAGTAACATAAACAAAAATAAACATTGGAGTCCAAACTTGGAATAACTGTGCCATCATGGGTGGTTAGTGAGGATACTGCAGGAAAGTGTCCTCTAGTTTGGCATGTAGGTCCTGCATAGCCCGCATTACTTCAGGTTTTCTCCCTCTGGGGAGTAGGTCTTCTGGTTGTTCTGGGTACAAATTCCGGCACCATAGAGGGATCTAGCTGTGAAAGTCTCTTGATGCTGTCGACCGGTTAGGGTCTGCCAGTCCCAGTTTTCGTAGAAGAGCCTCCAGTTCGGAGAACCCTTGGGCTCGATGTGTCGTGCCTCGATGTTGGAAGAAGAGTGATCTTGGAGTTCCCCACTGATACTGGATGCCTTTGTCTTGGAGCAGAGGTAGTAGCGGCCGCAGGGCCCTGCGCCACTCGATGGTACCTTTGGTGATGTCTGGGAACATGGATAGTGTAGCTCCCTCTAGTTGTAGTGGGGCCTTCTCCCGGGCAGCCGCCATTAGGAGCGTTTTATCCTGTATGGACTGGAAGCGGATGATCAGGTCCATATGAGCAGAGGCCGGTGCGGAGGTTGCCTTGGCTTCTTTGGTCGGCTACAAGGCGCCTATCATGCGCCTGACAAAATGAGGTAAGTCCGTTAGGCCAACAGTGTCCGGTATTCCGCGGATCTTGAGGTTATATCGCCTCCTTTGGTCCTCAAAGGCATCGACCCTGTTGCTGGTAGCTAGTTGCTGTTGTTGGAGTGTAGTTATCGTGCTCTCTATGGAGTCTAATCTCTGGTCTCTGGAGCTTGATGAGGCCTCCAGCAGGGTGATCCTTGATGCCGGCCATGTCCGCCGCTATGTTCCTCCGCAGCTCAGCTAACATCTCCTTTAATTGCGTGGCTATTACTGGATCTCCAGTAGTGTTTTGCTGTGGTTTGGTGGTTGGAGCGCTCATTGCCCCCATTCCCCTCTCGTATGACTCTTCGTCCGAGGAATATGACCACCCTTCTTCCTCCAGCGCCATTTTGTCCCACAACGGGGTCTGCGAACGTTGCAGCATCTCCCCTATATCTCAGCCAGGGAGGCTTTTGTCAGCTCTTGTTTTTTTGTTTTTTGCCCCATATCCTCCCCTGCATAGGGTGTGGGTTGTTTTGTTTGGCAGCAGCTTGATTTTCGATTTTTAACTCAGTTTTCCTTCCATG